TCAATTAACAAACGGAGACGTAACAATATATTCCAGTGTCTAGGTAAACTACTTTTATCTCATGATGACAAAACTTTCTCCAAACACTATACATTTGTTAACTTCTTAAATTTGTTATAAAGTTTTTTTTTGTTATCCATTCAATCACTACTTAAATTGTATATACTAGTAGAAATGCCACTCTACAGGCAGTTGTTTGTGCTAGTAATTACTAATGTAGTATTCATACCTCATTCAAAAAATTTAGAAAAAGTGAACATTTTCTAAAAAAAGGATTTTTCTAAGAATTACTGCACAATTAAAGTGTTTGGATTGTGCTGATATAAACTGTAATGTTTTCATATATTAAAAGTGGTACCCTTTATTGAAAAAATAACATTTAATTTTAAAAACCCCAATTTTAAGTACTATATTTACAAATCACATCAACAACGATATAATCAAACCCTCACGTACAGTTCTAGTTAAAGTCCTGTTCTTGTTGTGAGGAAAGTAATTTTATTTAAAATTGTGTTCTATGATAAAGAAATGGTTGTTGCATACCATCATTATTTTTCTAATTGTCTGAATACCCAAAGTGTGAAATTTTTTTATGGATTTTTTGTTTGTGGCGACATTCAGTAAAAGTCGCCACATTATGTTTATTATTTTGGACAAGTAGATAGATGCATATATACACACTTCATCCATTATAGTAAAAATCTTACCTTATCTTAAGTTATCCAATGTTTTCTCATTGAAGAAAATTTCTGTAGCTTTCAAAAGAGATAATTTAACACATAAATACTTTTATAATTCACAAATAAAAGGAACATTTATACAAAATATTAAAAACACTTGAAGCTATATATTTACTCTACTGCAACATCATAGTATACTTAATGCTCTGTCTAATCATATTTAAACTTTCTTAGTAGCTGTTATCAAAGCTGTGTTTAATTAGTAAATGATCAAACCAGTTGATGTACCATAACAATGTTTCATCCAAGGTCAGTATAAACACTAAGGAAAATGCTTCAAAACTGAAAAGGGGATACCCTCAAAGGGTGATAGGTTCTTAGCACAGAAAGCTAATCTATAGGATGGACAGAAATTTTTTTTAAATAATATGCAAAAATGAAAATATGAACTTTCTGTCTTCATAAATTAAACTATACAAATATCAGAAAATTGATTCTTTTTTGTGAGAAAAACCACACATTTGTGGCAACTTACCTGAGCAAATAAACTTGCATGTGTGAATTGCACAGATGCTTAAAGTAATGCATTATGACAGAAACAGCAAGTAAAAATTTATTCTTACAAATATCTGCATTACACAAGCAGAGTTATCAATTTCATCAAAAATATAAAAAAGAAACTATACAACACTGCTATATTCAAAAGGTAAGCTCTGATTTTCGTCCTCTCTTAGTGCAAGAACCTTGCCAAAATCATCACACAACCTTCCTCCTCCTTCTATGGTTCTGTATACAATTATCTCTGATTTCCTATAACCTTGAAATGTTTTCAATTTGATTTTATTGTCTCTGGCTATTACCTTCTATGTTTGCTTCATGAACCATCATAAATTAAATATCTATTACTACATTGCTCAATGCATTTCATAGATAACAATTCCACTTTCCTCAGGAATATTTAAAATTTATAACGTGATGTGCAACTGAATACGGCCTTTAAGTTGAGCAAAAGAGCATACATAATTAATTTCCATGTGCACCTACAATGCATGTACAACCACAGGCTTCAAAAGAAAAGGACTGGAGAATGACAAAATATAAATTCTAAATTTTTAGTTGTAACTGCTGAAATTTAGTTAGAATTAACATATAAAATTGACTTTAAAATGTCTTCAGTTTTCAGGCACAATAATTTAGAAATAAGTTACTTTTCTAATCCTAAACTTTATACAAGAAAATGTATCATATATCTAATAAATAGCATAATTAAACATTTAGCATAAATAAAAGATTATTTACTTATCAGTCACCTATTGCAACAATAGTGCACACATGTTTTCAGACTTGTTATTCCAGATAATTCAATATTGTTTTACATTTTTATAAGTATGTTTACAACAAAATTACTCAAACAGTTTATAATCTACCAAGGAAAATAAATAATCATAGCTCACTTCATGTATTAGGGAAAAAAGTAATTAATCAAAGTAAAAACCTAGTGTTTTTTTCTATTCAAGTAGCCTAAACTTAAAGTTAACAAAAATTAAAATAACATTAAATTCTTATGCAAGATAAAACTTCTGATAGCTATACTTTTATTTTACAAAGTTTGAAAACCATTAAAGAATAAATCAATACTCGAGAGTATTCTAACTTTAAAACATATTCAAAAAAAAAATATTTCAACCTACATTTTGCACTTGAGTTTTATCAAGGCTAGTAAAAAAACTTCTTGATATGAAATTCTGACTTCTAAGCAATGAAAAATAATTTCTCAGACAAATAAGAGAAGCAGGGGCCCTAAATAATACTACCATTGATGAAAACAAATACCTGGACACATTAACAGCATGTCTAGAAAAGTCCAAGGCAGGAAAATGTACCATGGCAACATTTAAGTGACATATATATTATTGACTTTGAAAACATCAGTTATTGGCCGAGGCTTTAACTTTATTACTGTGAATTCCACTTTGTTGATTTCAGAAAACCTTGAAAATAAGCTTTTACATTAATTAATATATTAATATAAATCAGAGTAGATCCAGAAATTGGTTGAGGCAGAACAGATGGATCACAGGACACCAGTCCCCTAATTTGTTTTGAGGACAACAAAAAACCTGGAGAAGGATGGATGACAGAATCGATAGTTGTCTGTGATAGAAGGGTCTGCACAGCCATAGATAGATGCATATTGGTAACAGTTAATGGAAAGGAAATTAGTGCAAGAGACAATGGTGGTGGGGAAAAGAAACTGATGAAAGGTCCTTTTGACAAAACTTGGATCACCAAAGAATCGGTACTGAATATCTGCCACAGGGGAACAAAATTGGCCAAACATGTCCCCACTGGATAAGAAAAGACTTGATAATCACTGGAACTGCTGGCAACATTGAACCCAACAACGAGACACAGCAAAATTTTGAATTACTAGTGGTAGGAACTGGTAAAGGATGAGAGGTTGCAGGACAATAAATAGTTATGGGAGAGGTCACGGGATCAGAATGAGACATCAAGCAACCAAAGACAAAAGGGTTTAAAGTGGTCTCACAGTTTCCACACGTAATTCCCAAGATTCATAAAAATTTCCAAAAACAAACCGACGTAGGAAAGGAGCCATCTATAAGTCATGAAGATAAGTGGAAGGAGATGAACCTGTGACAAGACAGCATTCTTCCCAATAAGATCCCAAAAGCAACGAACCCATGTGTAAAGAGATAGGGTTGAGTAGGACAATAGCATTAATGTGGAGGTAAGGAAGGAATGGGTAACCTCCAAAACCCCTCAGAGGGTCAGTGGAATACATCAGAAGGGAGGCTTATGTTGGAGAGCTATAAGGGTAAGACAAAAGCAGGAAATTGCGCATGAGAGAAAATTATATGATTTTTCAGGACAGCCCCCATACACTGGCAAAAGTGACTCCAACTGCTGGGTTGGTCAGCCTGCTGATAAGCCAAAGCATAATGATCATAAACCCATGGAGGATGAGCCATGCTAACCCCAACCCTCAATTGAGAAACAAAATGGTCAGTATGAACCCTAATGTCAGGGAAAGGAAGGAAAATAAGGTACTCTAAGGATGAGTATCATGTAACAAGGAAGAGACAGTATCATGAAATTGGTGAAAATGAGAAAATGGAACACACCTGAGTAAGCATATCCAAATATGCAGAGTTAGGCCTAGTAGATTCCATAGGAGAGGGATAAGAACTAAGGAAGGCACAGCATAATTAGGTGGAGGAAAAATGATATCAAATTCCTCCTCGTCATGAACAGGTTCGGATGATGCAGGAGGAACTCGAACATTTTTGGGAGAAGGACGATGACTCATATAATGATCAACCTCCCAACAAATGATAGTCAAAAAAATTCTCATTTGAGACCCCCATACCCGAAGCCTGTATAATAGCACTCACAGTAGTGATAAAAATATTAGAAGTTGTAAAACACAAACTTCAGAATTCATATAAAACTGTGAAAAAGTTGAAAATGAGAAGAAAAAAAAATCAATAAACAAAGTTATTGTGGCAAACTACAACAGAAAACTAACTGTAGTAAAGGAATAAATCAAGTAAATCACTACATCACAAAAAAAATTTAATGAACACATGAAAGAGCACAATTGAAAAATGTCCGCACTCAATCACCACCTAATGAGAAACGATAGCTCAGTAGAATCAATTATAGAGGGAGTCACATGCATCAGGAATGTGTCTCACTCCTACTGGTAGAGGGTTGTCAAATATATACATGTGAGACGTAGTTGAACCACATTGATCATAGGGTACATGGAAGTTCAAGGCTTGTGGAATGCAAAAAAGTTGTGTATATAAAGGGCAGCACTAAACAAGAATAGCTAACCATATGAGAAGAAGTAAAGCACCGTATTGGAAATGTAACAGTTTCCTTGATTGCAAATTCAGAGGATCTCTCCTGATTCAATCTTATAAACCTGAAAGAAGCAGAAATCTTGGCCTTTGTAATTATGATTATTTTGTTTTTTTGAAAGCTTGCAATGTTCTGTCGCTTAGTAATTCTAATTTCTTTTATTGTGTGTGTAATAACACTTGGCATTACCATTGTTGAATCAGTTTTTAATGGTTATGTGGTCTTTTCAGTTATCTGTTTGTAATTGTATGTGGTGCTGTAACCCTTGAGAAAGGCACAAGTCGAAATGTAGGCTTTGAATAAAATTATTTTTTTCTGGAGTGTATTAAGTTATTTTTTTTAGTAAACATGGCTTCAATCATCCAGTCTGTTCTGCAAAGTTTAAAAACTAATACATTTTTTATTTATTCATTACTTTAGCTATATTTGTACTATGAGAAAATTACTGCTACTAACATTTCTTAAGTTGTCACATATGTAACCTTGCCTGTGTTATACAGTAAGAGTGCCTTATTTAGTTTCTTTGGTTACAAGATGCTGGAGTAGTGGACAGTAAGGTTACAATTCCTAAGAAATTTCAGTTATGCAAATAATTCAAACCAACAGACAGTGTTTGTTAAATAAGTATTGTATACTGTATTATGTATTTATTGTTTCTTTCAGCAACAATAATGGTTACACTAGTCAGTATATCAAATGTCATCACTTTTCTTTTTATTTACTATTTATTAATATATTTTTAAAGATTTTTTTGCACTGTTAGGTTAAAATACGTATTCAGGACTAGCCTAAATCTTCTAAGCTCATAAGATATTGTTGGAATTACTGCTGAAAATATCACTAACAGTGAGAGTAACCAACTGATGAAACAATGCATTCCTATTTTTATAAAAACATAAGTTGATTTTGAATTTTGCTCTAAGTATATAGCTTACTCTGATATTAAGATATTATTATTCATCACTTTCCATAAATTCTGATAAAGCTGCAGCCTCTAGTACTCTAGATAGCAGTTTAACAGATTTATCACTGTACTGGAGAAATAAAACTACCTCAACTGGAGATGTATCACACCTTTTGAAACATTAAACATAATACTTTTTCCTACTTCCACTGGAATTCAAAATTAAAGAATTACAGCTGAACAATTAACTCAATTACCTATAGGTATCAATTACACTGATTATTGTCACCAAAATAATCAATTTGTCTAAATTAGTATTTCTGATTATTACTGTTCTTGATTATTCTAACTATACAAGTAATCAACATAATGCCATTATGAATACTCTTTACTATGTCAATCAATTAGTCATAACTCAAAAAATAAATAATCAGCTAATTGAAATTAGTATTTCCAATCACCAAAGTTTTTGATTACTCTAACTATCAAAATATTGTCATTATGAACTCTCATTATTATTTAAATCAATTCATGGTTGTTCAGGAATAATGTTACAACACATGAAAATAAGTAATTAATCAAAATTAGTGTTTCCAATTACAATTTTTGATTATCCAAGTTTCCTTTCAGATTAATCAATTAGTTCAATGTAAATGATTAATGGACCTGACAATTCACTTATCATATTCTACTAATTGTCCAGCTCTGGAAAAATGTTTAATGTTTTACCCTTATCAATTCCCTTGTTTTAAATGCATAACAAGGAGCCTGTTGGTCCATCCAAGCTAGGGTTTCCAGACATACAAGCTTTTAGATTTTATTTTGTCCAAATCATCAACAGTAAAAGTATTAATTTGCCCCAGTTTCTCTTTATATTTTCAGTAATTAATCTCTGTACGGGTTCAGTAAATTTGACCAATCTCGCAACCACCTTAAAAGATTAGGAAATAAACATAAATTATGCCTCTTTCATTCTAGAATGAACACACATTATAACACAAAAACATAAATGTTTAGACTATGTAGCTTAAATCTCATAACATTATACATTTATATATATTTATTATTTTTATTATATTGACCTTTCAGCCATGCCTGGCTAACAATATAGAAGTTACAATGACGTGACTCATATGCACACATGTTACTGTATCAGATGACATAAAACTGACCTTTGGTCTGTACAAAGTAACTTTTCTTGGATGTGTTTTAGTAGTCTAGTATTTTGTAAAATACAGTCATATTTCAATTATTATAACCATATATGTATATAGATTATTGCTATTTTGAAATAAGTTCTTAAACTTATTTTTCTTAAAACATAGAACAGTAATTAAAGAAGTAAAGCAAACAATTATCTCTTCTAGTTATGACCTTTGTACTCGGTTGCTGCTTGATGTAGGTTGCTAAGCCTTTAAAAAAATGACGTGGAGGATATGAAATTTTTTGGGGGTTTTTATATATACATTTGAATAACTAAAAAATCATAAATTACTACATTAATACCATAGAATTCCACTATAATTTATCAAGCTTAGTAACAATGATGTACTTAAGTTTAAAAAATATGAAATTTTGAGCAGACTAAAGACACACCCTACCTCATTGAAATATTGGTTCAAAAGAAAGAAATGACACCAAGCCCATTAAAATGGCTGAGAAAGCTACTAGGGAGACATTCTGAGCTTCCGATTGGTTATTCATGTCATATATAGAAGTAAGTGTATGTATGGGAGATTTTCCAAAAATGTAAAGAGGTGGGCAGGATGCCACAGGGTTTGATTTATTAAATGAGCAATATCTTAGCAAACTGAAAAGATAAAAGGCTTATTTTATATTCTAGCTTTTCAATATCGCTAATTTGAGTTTCTAATTCATTCAAAAATATAGACTTAGTATTTTGACTTCACAAACATCTAATTTGAACCAGTGTTACATTCAACACACCACGTGACACACAAAAATCGAGGTTTATCTGCATTTTTTAATATTTGCTTTTAAATTAAGAAATTGAGTAATATATAGTACTAAAATTTGAATTATATTCTACAGTTTGATACCAAACTTATTGACATAAATTCATGAAATAGTAGCTCAATAAAATTTTGAATGAGAGTCAACAAAAAGGAGATGACATGGCCCTTCACCCGTGACCCATCCCTAAAAGATTAAAATGCAATAAATTAAACATCAGATTATTTAGCAAATGTTGTGTTACTGCAATTTGAATTATTTCAGGACTGTTACAGTGTCACTTTTTACAGAAAACAAATTTCCCAGTTTTACTCTGGAAATCTGGTAACTCTAATAGAGGCTGTCTCACCCACAAAACTAAACTAAGCTTTCAAAATAAAAAAAAATTAGATAACCCATGATATTTCTCTTTTCCCAAAAAAAACAATTAACATATAACCAATTTTATGAACAGGTTGTGAAGAGCGACATTTTTATTTTGATAGTATAAGCCTCAACAAATATTTTCAGATCTAGGAGCCAGGACTGATATAGAAAATCTATGGAATATATTTTGAGTCAGTTATGTGGTTATGGTACGAGGCATACAGTTTTACATTAAAAAACAAAGGATTCATCATTAAACTTTATTATACAACATATATTAAAGTTAAACTTCAATATGTGCAATTATTAAATATTAGACTAAATAACTATAACTTAGGTGGATTCTTGCAATCAATGAAAGTAAAAACAATAGGCCAAGCAAGTTTATCAGAATAGGTCTAATCTACTGATCACAGCAACACTGTAAAACAATAAACAAAGGCCTTTTAGGGTGCCTAACCTAACTTTGGCTATATTTATTTACTTTCACAGCAACAAGTGCATGCTAATGATCATATGATATCAACAACCACTTGATAGTGTTGCCTGAACTAACTGTCCTTGGTCCCATCCGAGTCTAAACACATGCACTGATTGGTTGAAGTGAGAGAAACATAAAATGGCACGAAATTACTAATGTGTTATGAGCCACAACACTTCTTTATTGAAAAACATGAAGTACTGTATCTTCCATTAAAATCCTAGAAACAAAGTTCGACTTTTGACTCAAATAATGCAAAATTATTTCCAGACTTCCAAGTCCAGAACTGTTCTAGATTTGAGTTCTATTTAGCACATTCATAAGCATGAATAAAATGGGAGAAAATACTAAGTGCTACTATGAAATTTTTAGTCGTCATGGTGATCTGACACCTGGCCTGTGTTAGCAAGTAGTATAAAACACATAATTACCTAATACATTATTACTATAGTTGGTGCAAAATTACATGCTACATTATAATATGACTGCAAGGCTTCCAACTGTTTCTCTATTGCTTTCTATGTTACACCTAACTTCCTTTTACTTGTAGAATTACTTTTTCATCACCAACACCTCACTTGTTACAAAACAGAAATGGTGTTCTGTGTTTCCAATTCATGACAAACTTTGTACTCCATTCCCACAAGTCATTTCATGTAGATTTTGTGATGTTATTTACACATGTTCAGTGGTGTAATATTGGTATAGATTATTTTTAAATATTTCAAGATGTCACTTTACATGAGTCACATGACAAGAAGTAATATTTAATATTGAGATTCAAATGTTTCAAACCTTTTATTTCATCTCAAAAATTTAGTCAATTTGGGCAAGTTTATATTTGTGTTAGGGATGTGTATATTCAAATATATTTTCATATTTTTTCAAATACTAAAGGAATCTTTCTTTTTAAAAGCCAAGAGCCTTTGATTTTGAGTATGTTGCTTAATGCTAAATCAGTAACTGGAACTTGTGGAAGTGCTATTGAAGCTCAAGGACGCCCACAGAAACATTTTCAAGGGGGGCAAAACATGTATTTAGGGAAATAAGGCTAAATACATGTTTTGCCCCCTTGAAAATGGTAAAATTAAAAATATTTAGTTTACGTTTTAAATTTAACTACGATATTAAGTTTACATTGTAATACGTGCATTTTTTTGTGAAATGTAATGTGCCCATGATGAAGCCCATGATTTAATTTTTAACAATAGATTTAAAAGTAATTCTGCGATAAGACTAACCGAATCCTTCTACCTTAGAACTAGAACTTAGATTTATGATTATAACGTTATATTAGGCCTAATTTTACTACGTCTTTTCTGTGTTTCTTTTTCTCCCACTCATTTAACAACAATGGTCAATGTCATTTAAATTGCATACTTTAAAAACTGTAGCATACACATTTTCGCATTGTCAAATGACATTTAATCAACAAAAATAACAATATTTACCCACATTCAAGACCAACTTCGCTCCATTTCCCCACACCTTTTTTTTAATCCAGTTATAGACTCCTGCCTTTGAAATTACTTACGTTTATTGTCACGTGACGAGAGTTGTACTTAATTTCCATTGGTCAAACTCAACAATAACCCCAAGGGTAAACTACAGGTGACCTTAAAATAAAACAGTGAAGTCTAAACATAATACAAGTGTTTGTTAATATAAGGTGGGAATTGTATTTTTGCTCAATATATTTTTCATTATTACGAATAGCAATATTATATCAATTATAACCGCCACGATGAAAGAATTAGCATAAAGCGCCATAAAAAAATCAAGTAGATCTCAAATAACCAAGAAACTTGAGTACTATCTTTGACTATTCTTGGTCAATTAATAATAATAATAATAACTATAAATTAATTATAGATGTCATTATGGATCCTACTATATTTTTAACACTACGTTCTACATTCAGTTCAAGAAGAAGAGTACATACACATACACATACACACACACATATATATATTAGTATTTCAACAACACTACGTCCGCCATGTTCAAAAGAGGAATAGTCGAGTATTCAAGAACACTGGGTCTTATGAAATTTATTTCAATCATAATGAGTTTTAAATGCTGTATAGCAGACATAAAATTGGCCCTGTCATTTAATAAGTTCCACTTTAATATGACATTAGCTACAACAAAAATTATTTGGCAGTAACCTAATAACACTATACATTTTAATTTAATAATTATCTTTAACCTTCCAGTTGAGCAAAATGACACGCCTCTTTGGCATGTGTAATGGTATTGGCTAATTCACGAAAGGCGGAGTCCAAGAAAAGGATGTTGTTGTTTTACTTCTCCTTGTACGTATAACAGAGAATCAGATTCGTCTTTATAATGGCAAAGGAAAACTTAAAGGTTAGTATTTCGTATTCTACATTAACTTATATTAGCTTAGAAACTTATAACTAATTTTGAGACTAAGCTTAAACAATCAATTTTAATAGTGGGTTAACTTACATTTATGACTAATGCATGTAATGTCATAGACCTTATATTCAATTTATATTTAAAATTTTTTATAGTACTACTAATACTAAAACCTTAAAGATGTACATAAGAGAGCTAAGATGATATTTCGGCTTTACCTAAGTTTTAAATATACTGTTGTCTCCAAAATTAACCAGTAAAATACCTGTTACTCCAAACCCTTATATTTTATAATACCGTGCATTTAACTTAAGTATTAATAAGTGTATCAATGGGCCCCAAATCAGTAAATGATACCCTAGAAGCTATCGTGAAATATTATGTTGCATGTTATTTAAACCAAACTGTAGAAATATATAAAATTCTTATAGAATATAGGTATAATTTTTAATCTAAAGTTTGATAACATAAATGGCATTAGTTTTATATCAAGACAACATTTTTTCAGCAGATAGGAAAATTTGGTATTGCAGAATATTTCAATGGTTTTACTTCCATGAATCTACTGTTTTATGTTTCAAGCTCAGTTTTAATCATTTTTTAAGAAGCCGTTTTATGTTCTTGTTTTTCAGTTTATATGACTTATCGCTCTTAATATTTTCTTGATATCTGCACATGATTTATTAGATATTTTATGAGAATTATGCTTTAGACACAAGTTTTATCGTTTGTACATAATAAAACTTTTATATATTTTGTTCACAACGTTTCATCAGGTCTAACTGGCATCATCAGGTAATAGTCTGATGATGGCAAGTAAACTTAGTGAAACGTTGTGGACAAAGTAAAAGTTTTACTATGTATAACTGATAAGCATTTATGTAAATTAAAAAAAAACATAATTTTTTCTAATTTTAATTCATGCTCTAGACAGTTCCTTTGATTGCTATAAAATATGATTTTAAAGTTCGAATTTACAATTCCCCTTTCCCCCTCACCGCCACAGTGGCACAGCGGTATGTCTGCGGACTTACAACGCTAGAATTCGGATTTCCATATCCGTGGTGGGCAGAACACAGATAGTCCATTGTGTAGCTTTGTGCTTAACTTCAAACAAACAAACAAACAAACCTTTTCCCCTCCATAAATATACATAATATACATATATATATACTAACTACAACTTTTACCCGTTGTTCTAACAACGTTAAGACGGCTTATCGACTTCTTGAGAAGAATTCTAAGAAGAAAGTAAACCTACAGACATCGGTCTTGTTTAACAAAATCTGCATATATATATACATAAATCTCCATTTGCAATGAGGAGCTATTTTGATCAATTTTTTTACACATTAGAAAAGTATGTTCGTTTGAAAATAGATTAATTGAAATTAATCAGACAGTTCCTTTGATTGGTATAAAATATGATTTTGAAGCTCGAATTTACTATTTCCCTTTCCCCTCGCCCCCACAGTGGCATAGCGGTATGTCTGCGAACGTACAACGTTAGAATCCGGATTTCGATACCCGTGGTGGGCAGAACACAGATAGCCCATTGTGTAGCTTTGTGCTTAACTTCAAACAAACCAAACAAACCCTTTCTCCTCCATAAATATACATAATACATACATATATATATATATTGGTGTACTTTGGTGACAGATTTTCTTGTAGGCAGATTTTGTTAAACAAGACCAATGTCTGTAGGTTTACTTTCTTCTTAGAAGTCTTCTCAATAAGTCGATAACTCTCCATTTGCAATGAGGGGCTATTTTGATCAATTTTTTACACGTTAGAAAAGCATGGTCGTTTAAAAATAGATTAATTGCATTTCTTAAAGGCTTGTGGAAAGTTGGAACTTAAAGAAGTGGCTTGTTTTGTTGCGAAATCTCGCAACCCTGTTTGGCAGTTCAACTCATTCCAACAAAACAACTTTGAGAGTTTTTATTGAATTTTCCAAACGTGCGAACATTACATGAACTTGAACAGCTACTTTCCTGATCCCTACCCCTAATATATACAGAAAGAAAGATGTCAGGTTCACGTTTAAACTTTTACCGTCCTTTGATTTTGTTTTAATCTTTCTTATCCAGCTTTCCTAACATTCCGCTTATTTTCTTTGTGGAGACCTAGATGTCAAAACGAGAGCGCCTTCGAATCCTCAACGTTGATATTCATAGTTGGCGCGATCTGTTCCTAAAGTCAACTTTTGTGATCGTTGACTTACAATGTTGCTTCAAGCCTTCAACACTCAACCGTCCATAGGAGCTTTAAGATTGAAAAATGCAATATATCATCTTCTATACCAGATGTTAAACTTGCGGTAGGCGATTTACTGTAAATGTGTATGCAACAATTTTTCTTTTAAATTAAAATTACTGTAAAAACACGACGTTTCAATAGAAACAAATATATTTTATCTAGCAATGTTTCGAGCAACCACTCTTCTTCAGGCTTAAAGTTAACA